TATGAAATAGAAAAAATCATTCATACATAGCATAGTCCAAGAGAACCCACTTAAAATCTTTACTGAACTATGACCGGCCATCATATAAGCAAATAAACATATGATAATTATACACATGTCAGGTGTGTCTATAACGCTCATGTACATTTTTTGAGATAACGCTCATGTACATAAATCTGGGATTGTGTTTGGAAGGAGGTATTAATTTTACTATAGATTAGAATAAGGGGTAAATATATTTCCCATAAAGTTATGAGCATAGATAAGTTCTCTAAACAAGTAATCGGTGCGACTTATGTATTTTCTCAAAAGATTTATTTTTAGTAGTGTCATACTTCTATGTCGAGATGTCAACCACGCCTGAACTTTGAAACAAAACTTCCAAATTTTAACAAATAAGTTAAAAAAACACTAGATTCGAACTAAAGGAAATAAGGATATCAACCATTTAAAATACTTTCTCCAATCACTTGACTATGTTTATATTCATTTCCATGCTCAGAGAAAAAACTTTTGAACACGCTTTATGGAGATATTCATAAACATAGGTCTTAATGGTAACAGTATTTACAAAAACAGGCAAATGATGAAATGTAAATATCAACCTCAAACAGGAAAATTTTCCCTAAACTAGTAACAATAAAATATTGATACCGATCTCACCTGAGCAATGTATTCAGCAAGACCATGAGTCTGCAGATGGGGAAAAAGGAAGGCAACAAGGATTAGTATCAAATTAATTTAAAGAAAGCAGCATAAAACTAAACAAACTAGCCAACACAATATGCATGGAGAGTTTTCATCTCTAGAAGATGACACGATAAAAAGAAGGATTCAGATACCAACTCCAGACAACACAACTGTTAAATGATAATTTCTGTTGAAACAAGAAATTCATCGAATCATTACTAAACTAAAATAGCTTACTCAATCTCGACTATTGCTTATTCATAGGCTATTATGAGTTCACGACAGGCCGTTATGTTAAAATTGGTAGACACGCTACTCTTAGGAAGCGGTAGTAATGCATCTTGGTTCGAGTCTGAATGACAGTATACCATCTTCTAAAAAGGATAAATAGATATTATAATGATTTTAATTCCCGATTTTCATTTTAGACTTATGTAATTAAGGGACTCTTCTTTGTAAAGATTTTTCAATGATATTTTCAACCTTAGAGCATATATTAACTCACGTTTCATTTTTTATTGTTTCAATTGTAATTACATTTCATTTCATGATCGTTGTAGTTGATAAAAACATAAAATTATATGACCATGTATCGAAGTCAACAAGATGGACCAAATAAATTAATCACTGCACAAGGTTTCTACTTGAGCTGCCAAGTAATATGACAAAAGGAGAGGATAGCAAGGCATAAAATTAGCATTAAAACTATGGCATATGATGCACATCACATGTGGAGAGTAATATCCTTCATTAAGCACTTATAGCAATAGATAAGACAGATATATCAGCAATAAGTATCTTGAACAAGTCCTTACTATAACATTGTCATCGGCGCCTGTTGTTAACTTCTTTGATTCATGGTACAAAAGGTTTAACACATGCAACTCATTATCTCTCACATATGCAAGCCTGGTACCATCAGGTGAAATATGTGGATCCAAGACTGGCGAGGAGGATGTACTTGCTATCTTAAGTTCTGGTTCTGCATTCTGATCCTTCAAGTATACCTGTTTTACGTATAAAGTGAACTCTGATTAGATCTGATAATTGGAGAAACAAACACAAAAAATCAGTTTGGACCCCCACAAAAAATGATATGGTACAGATATATACATGATTTCAGGTAAAGAACCGAATTTAAAAATGAAAAGAAATTATTACTATTATCTCCCAAGCAGTCCTGTGAAGGATTTCTTTTTGCAGATGGAACAGAGCGCAGAGAATAAGAATGTGTTAATCAAAACTCAAATATTTGAGGACTACAAAGGCCAAAAGAAGGACGATCTATCCAGCGGACTAATATGGACAGAAAAACTATCACTATCTCAGATAAGACTGTTCTAATTTTTCACAATTTAAATTCTTTTTTAACCCAAAAGAAGGCCTTTACCACTAAATGATTACTCCTGTAAAATACATGTTAGCAGTGAGGTTGAGCATGTATATTAGTTTTTTCCAGAAAAAAAAAGAGAATCAGGGGGTCGGCCCAGTGCAGAATACACATTGTAACATTTCGGAATAGAAAAAATTGAGAGAATTTCACAACTGGAAGACAACAGCTATTTTTTATTCTTTAATTACCAATTGCATCAACAAATAGTTTGGGAGATTATAGTTCAGTTGAACAATAGGGATAGCATTAAATAGAAATTGAGCACTAAAACTTACATGAGAAAAGATAACTTACTCCAGCAGGTAGTGGTACCATAATGACTTTCCGTCTGGCGCTTGCCTTAACCCACTCATATCGTGTTACCCCTAAACCACGTTCCCTTGACCTCTCCCTTCTAAGCTTCTCTTCAGCAGATAAGTTATTCTCATCGAGTCCACCATCTGGTGGACTAAAGAACAATTCATGCCTTCCATTCTTGAGATCCAATACAAAAACCTTTCTACATAGATTTTGGTTTGGACTATATAAATATGTAACTAAACTATCATCTGGACTAAAACCTATAGACGTTGGTGAACCACAACCAGGTAGAGGATACTGCACTATATCTTCAACAGGAAACAGGACGCAATCCTCTAAAGGCTTTGCAACATTTGTATCAGTCCCTGGCATCTCACTTGAAAATGATCTCGAACGTTTCAAACACTTCTTTTCACCCGAATTTATTGATTGCATTACAGATTAAGTCATCCACAGTTCACACATTGATCCAATCAATCTCACAATTCTGCACAAAACAGGATACAAATTCAATCTAATGCTACCAACTCTTCGCCAAAGTACTTCTTATACGTTCTAACAACAAGAAAATAAACCAAAAGAACTAAAACAAGAACATAGAAAACACCCACTAGTAAAATAAACCAAACAATGAACTAAAACAAGAAAACAGAAAACACCCACAATTAAAATAAACCAAATACAGAACTAAAACAAGAAAACAAACCAAACAAAAAACTAAAACAAGAAAACAGAAAACACCCACTAGTCCAATTACCAAATAAACCAAGATTCTAAGACAAAACCAAATAAAGCTGCAATCTTTATACTACCATCAAACTCTTTACTTCAAGATTCTAAACAAAACCAAATAAAGTTCCAATCTTTACACTACCACCAAACTCTTCACTTCAAATAGAGTAAACAAAGATTATAAAACAATCAAAAAGCATAGAAAAAATGCAAAAACAAAAAAACAAAAAACTAAAGGGGATTGATAAATCCCAATCTGTAATAAGTGATTAAGAGATTGAATGAACATGCCTGAAAGTGGAAATCCTATCGGCACTTTTTTAGATTCAGTGGGCAAGATTTGGATTCATAAATTTGGGTTTTAGTTTCTATTTAGAAATTTTTATTTTTTTCTGAAAAATAGAATCGGAGATTGTTGGGTCCAAAACAATATTGTTGGATTCTTCAGATTGCAAAGGAAACTTAAAATTGACTGCAAAACAAATGTTTTATACAGAGGAGCGTGGGGAAAACGTGGGCGCGTCGGCAAATTTGTCTTGCGGTGCATGATTGGTTTTGTTGATTACAATACACTTGTCATTTATGAATCTTAAGGAGTTGACCATTTTAGTAAAAATCCATTATTCAAATCGAAAAATTGAATCGAATCAATTAAAGACAATTTGTATGCATTCATTAATATTTAAAAACATAAAAGTAAGATAATAGATGTAATAATAAAGCTTTATAATTGTAATTTCAATTATTGTGTTATATAGCTATAGAAAGTATCATTTGGTGTGAAGTCTGTGTTTTTCATATTTCGCTGATAAAATAAATACAAATGAATATTGTGGTTCGTATATTTTGATTGTCCGCTTGTATATTTCGTTCTGTGAATATCAAAGCAGGTAAATTATATACTAATTTTGTATTCTTTCATTTAGGAATTTTTCAAAAACTCCATTCATATAATTCGTTTGTCAATATACTAATCTGTTAATTAATTATGACTTTTTCATAAATTGTATGTAAATAATAAGAATAAGCCTACACAGATCTTGGATCTATATAATTAAAGACCGAATTATACATATTGTAGATTTATATAATTAGAAAATAAAATAGTAAAAATTCATGAAACTATAACCACAAATTAAAAATAATTGAAACTATAGTTATATCATTTAATATACTCTAGATGTTTGTCATTTCTCATAAATTTTCCATTTTAAATTCTCATTTGATAATATATGGATATATTTTAGAAATTATTTTTACCTTTGTAAATGTTTTAAATATTAAGAATTTTTTTAAAAAAATATAAATGGCGAGAGCTCAACTATGTTATGAAATTAATTTTGGCTATAAAACTATTTTTTTTAAAAAATATTTTACATCGTATTCTTTGAGATTAGTAGCAAACAAATTTAAATTGTCATCATAAAATTATACTAAGTTGGTGATTTTAATCCTACCTAAATTAAAGCTTCCTGATTATACTAAAGAATTTTTTGTAGAATAGGCGTTGTGTTGATGCATGTTGACAGATCTATAGCTTATTTTAGCTCTGGGGTAAATCCATCTATGACAAAATGTTGTAAATGAGCAACGACTCTATAAAGATCTCTGGGTACATGTTTGTAAATAAGGCATATGAGGCAAAAGATGTCATTGATTCAATTATTGTTAGACTAATTTCGATAATTGCGTTATAGGTAGTAGTGTTTGGTATGGAGTCTGCATTTTGTCTATTTCGCTTACGAATATACAAACAGGATAGAATTTATTTCATCTCAATGCAAAAGTTTAACCGTCCTTCCGATACAAAGAGCTTCTAAGTAGATGAGAAGTGAGAAAAAGGTTTTGAGGAACTACAGAGTCCGTTTGATCATTGCAATTTGGATTTCAAATTTGAAATTCATGTTTGTTTATTACATTTGAACAAAACTTCGACTTTCAATACTACCTTGATATCTAACTCCAACAGACTAGCTAGATACTTTAAAAGTAGTACATCTTGCTAATGCCTATTGGAGCTGGCAAAAGAACTGATTTTCTGCATCAATCTGGTGTAGCCAACTTCCAAAATTTCAATGCAAAATCCGATTAATCTCGACTCTTTTGCATTTCTGTTGCATCACTAGTTCGGAAGAGATTACCTGATACGTGGGAGTTTCAACTACGCGTGTTATATGCTAAAAGCATGAGTCTAGACTTCCGAATCTTCCACCTCAGAGTTCATCACAAAGCTAGGAAATGCTAAAGTTATATCCCTATAATGAAAGGTAACAAACAACACTCAAAAGTTGCTTTATAGCACACAAATTTGATAGTAGATTTAAGGCCAATGAGCTTGATTTTTGAACATTTCCAGAGGAATGGTGAAAAGATAAACGCAAACACACAAGCTGCCTTGATGCAGCTCGATGTTATAACTTACTTGAGATATGGAAGGGTCATATTCTTTAGAAGAGAGGGATTCATTGAAACAAACTCCTTCCATTCTTCTTCATCTATCTTCCCGTCACTCTTTTTATCTGCTTCATCAAATGTCTGGTGCAACAAGATAAAACTAGGTGGTCAATATGAATAACACAAAGGCACACAATCAAACATATTAGCAGACAATCATGGAGTCGAGGAGTCAACCTTATCTACAATCATTTCAACTATATCATCCGAAAGAATCAAGTCTGACTCATTCAGCAGCGCCAAAACCATCTCTTTCAGCTGTAATAAAAACCAAGCAAGCAGCGAATATGACTAATGTTCATGACAAGGGAGCATAGAGTAAATCAGTATAAGTACGGTTGCAACACCTACCTCTTCTCTCTCAATATAACCAGTCTGCCTTAGATCATATAATCGGAATGCAACTGCAGAAAGAATCCACCGTGTGTACACATTAATAATGTTGCAGAAGAGGTTAAAAAGATCATGTTTAGAATTCTAAAGCTGTAGATAGTTGAATATAAGCCACCTACATGCAATTTTATCTGCTACTGGTGCATTTGGGTGGAATACACTCAATGATCTGACAAATTCTCCAAATCCAATCACTCCGTTGCGCTTGAAATCAAATAGATCAAAAATCTGCATGATTCCAGAAAGAGTGGAAAAGAAAAACTCAGCAAATATAAGTCAGATTAAAGCCAGACGAATGGTCGTTCTTCAAATGAAACAGAAACGATTGATCCAAAGCATAAGAGTTGTAATGCTTAATCATTAATATGGAGAATCCATTTCAAAGAAAAAGTTAATCAACAAAACATACCCTGTCTGCAAAAAGATCTCTCCTGTTTTGGTTCTTGAAAATTGCCAGCTGAAATTCTTCCTAATGATGGAATGCCAGAGAAGTTAATAGGAAACTCTATAACATATTCTACGTGTAATCAAAGAGTTCAATACTAGTAAATTATAAATGTGGAACTCCAAGAACACATAAACGATATATGGCTTAACGGTTATTCAAGTAGTAGAGAAATTATACCTTGTGAATTAGTCCATCATCAATTATAGAGCTGCTTATTTTCTTGAACAGCTCATATAATGCTTCAACTTCACTCACCGTAACTGCAATACATAAATCGTTGAACAGAATGCTCAATTTGCTGTTTTGGACTGAATAAAAGCAGACATAACTTGCTGTCGATTAAATAACTTTATACATGTTTATAGCACTTGTTTACTTACATGCCTGCAGTGGAGGCCAGAACACTGAACTACTAGTTCAGTCGTCACATTCATAATATAAAATTTTGTCAGGAGACAATTTAAAGGCTTTTCGTTGAGTACTAAAACTACCCTCAACTATCTCATTGGTTCAGGATATGGAAAATTTTTGGTTGTTTGGTTACTCGTACTATGATCTAAGCTAGATCGAGGAGGAAATTTTCATTCTGAAGCTCAACCATATACTATTCCGTTGTTCCTTCATTTTCTTCTATTATAAGTTATAACACATATGTGAAAAATTCTTTAACATCATCCATATGCACTAAAGGAGTTTGAGACCTCCTCGCTGTGTAGAAAAAAAAATCATATTAATTTATTACCCTCTAGTATTTTCCTTCAGCAATAGGCCCTCTTGGTGTCTGAATGACTTTGAAGATCCAGAACTTGAGGATGGGGAAAAAAACAGAAATAAAGACAACTGATCGAAACAAAATACCAATTTGGTAAGGATATGCATATATACTCACAAGCGGTCTCAGCAGCCAGCAGTGTTGGATCCTCGTAACCAGGGGTACTGAATCGGCAGATTTTTGAGGGAAAGCAGCCCATCAAAAGACCAAATTCAATAAAATGTTGGTTAACTAACGATATATTCTAGTGAAGCTTCGTCAAACAGCCTCCTGACAATCAAATACAAGAGAACAACTTCAACCTCATCATCAGGGAATTGAGCAAACGAGTCATGCATAATAATATTATGTCAAAGTCAAAATGAAACAGTAGGAAGATAGCAGAAAGAAGAAATACTGATTTGTGCTACTTTATCAGGTTCAAGGTAATCACCAGGACATCGAATGTTATCGCTTACTCAAAATAAGATAAAAACAAGAATAGAAGAACAAATGGATCAAAGCTTCTAGCTCTATATAGCAATTGCCCTTCACTTCAAAATCTGCATCTTATATCTTCAGCAGCACTATACCATTCTGTTTTCGCAACTAATTTACTTATAGCCTTGACAATGCAAAGAGATATAGTTATGACATAAACATTTTTTTCCCTCACAAATAAACTGGAGTTACTAATATGTATGGACCTAAAATACCATAGCTCTGAAAGAAAACATATTACAACACATTAAAAAGAGAAAAGAGGATGGATCTAAACATAAAAAGGACAGTAATAACATACAGATAGAAAGCTTTTTGCAGTTAGAGACCAAGTTTAAGGGTCCAAATGTCATTACCATAGGACCATTTTTTAAGTCACAAATTCAGATGGAACATAGGTAGAAAAAGATTATTACGATTTCGAAAAATACATATATACCAATGGGAAAGCAATATACAACAACATAGCCAGTGAAATCCCACAAGTGGGGTTTGGAAAGGGTAGATTGTACATGGACCACACCCCTACCTCATGAAGGTAAGGAGACTGTTTTTGAAGGACCATCGACTCAAGTATAACATATCATAATAATAAAAAGAGGGGAAAATGCACAAGTACCGCCTTAGACTATGATCAAAATCGCAGATACACACCTTAACTAAACTAAGGTCCTATCATCCTGAATTTATTTTTTTTGGTAATTTTGTGCATCTTTTTAGCTTACGTGGCATCCAAATATTTCCCACACGCCTCAATTGCATGGAGCCGACAAAAGATGCAAAAAAATACAAAAAGATAAATAAATTCAGGAATAATACGATCTTAATTTAGTTAAATTATGTCTCTGATATTTCATTCATAATCTAGAGATAGTTGTGCATTTTTCCTAAAAGGAGGGGAAATGACATAGGAGAAATAAAACAACTTATAAGTAAACAATAACAACCACAAAATAATGCTATGACCTAAACACAATCAAACAACAAGTGATGGTGGATTCAACAGCAAGACTCTGTAACAAAACAGCTTAAAACAATACCCCATACCTACTGACCTTCTACCAGAATACTCGACCTCCACACCCTCCTATCTAAGGCTCGATAATCTAGAGTTGGGCCATATATTGTCTAATCACGTCTCCCAATACTTTTTCAGCCTACCTCTCTTTGTACACGCTATATCCAGCCAAATGTTATAGCAAATCTAACCTCTTCTCAGTTCTCACAAGCTAACTCCTTGGAGTAATGTGAATAGTTAGAAAACTTGATCACTAAAAATGTGATCTTTAACTATAAATCAGTAAACAAAACTAGATTTTGTCTCCATTGATAGAGGGGCTGGGCTCTAATTCAAGATCAAGAAAATAGTTTGCTGAAATGGAAAAAAATATATATAAACAGTATAATTACTGGAAGATTAATTAATTACCTAATGATGCATTGCTTTTAAACTTTGAAGACCAGAGTTCATAATTAAGCCAACAGATTTATAACTTTTTTGAGAGTTGAAATCAAATCATATTTACATACTTATTTAATCTGTAAAAGGGTAAAGATGATAACTTTTAGTGAATGAATGTATGTATTTTATATTTGTTTATATTTTACTGGACAGATTTGATGATCGTATTTAAATTCAGTATTAATATTAATTTTTAATTTCTTATTCTTTAATTTTGATTATTATGAGTGCTTTTGAAATCAAATCATATATATATATATATATATTTAATCTGTAAAAAGGTAAAAATGAGAACTTTTAAATGAAGGAATGTATGTATTTTATATTTGTTTATATTTTGCTGGACGTGTTTGATTATCGTATTTAAATTTGATATTAACATTATTTTTTTAATTTTTTATTCTTCAATTTAGATTATTATGGGTGCTTTTGAAATCAAATTATATATACGTACTTATATAATCTGTAAAAGGGTAAAGATGAACTTATAATGAAGGAATGTATGTATTTTATATTTATTTATATTTTGCTGGACAGATTTGATGATCGTATTTAAATTTGATATTAACATTATTATTTAATTTCTTATTCTTCAATTTTCGACTATTATGAGTGCTTTTGAAATCAAATCATATATACATACTATTTAATCTGTAAAGGGTAAAGATGACAACTTCTATTGAAGGAATGTATACATTTTACATTTGTTTATATTTTGTGGGACAGGTTTGATGATAGTATTTAAATCTTGATATTAATGTTATTTTTATGATTTCTTATTCTTCAATTTCGATTATTATAAGTGTTTTTGGTGCTTCAACAATCACATTATTTGGTTGTAACAATGGTTCTTTATTCTTATGTTATATTATGCAGCGTTTTTTATTTCATATTATTTCGTGATTGCTATTATTCTTATTTGCATATTTTTTTTTCAAAATTTTTTGAAAGGGACAATGGCCAAGTACCTCCTCAACCTATGCCCGAAATCTCAGAGACATATTTATACTATACTAAGGTCCTATTACCCCTGAACTTATTTTATTAATAATTTTTTATCCCTTTTTAGCCTACGTGACACTATTTTGTGGGCCCAACGATGGTTGACTTTTTTTTTCAAACTAGTGCCACATAAGCTAAAAATGGTAGAAAATTACTCATAAAATAAGTTCAGGGGGGTAATAGGACCTTTGTATAGTATAAATGTATCTCTAAGATTTCGGACATAGATTGAGAGTGTAGTTGTGCATTTTCCCTTTTTAAAATGCTTTATTTTATGTTCGAAATTATTTAAAATAACCTAAATTTATGTGCTTTCTAATCTCTTCAGACTGATTTATCCGCATATAGACTATGGGACTTCTTTTTCTAATTCAAATGTAAAAATAAAAATAGACCAATACGAATATTTTTAAATATCATAATTGTTAAAATAAAAGTAATTTATGATGATCATATCAATTCAATGGCTTAGTATATAACTTTATTTATTATAATAGCATTCTAATAGTTATCATCAACTACATTTTTAAATTTTCAAGCTATTAAAAAGATATTCTTTTTTCTTATAAAAAAATCAAATTCTAACTCACATAAAATATTTAATACACTAGAAATAAAAAATATAATTTAAAACAACAAATTTCAAAAATATGATGTCAATATGTACTTCACTATATTTACAATGTCGGTATTATATATTTTTAATCCAATTAAAATATTTTTTTATAAAAAAATCCCTTTCTGGTACCCCATTTGGTTGGCATTTTACCTACCCCTCCCTATCAAATAATATTTAAGTATGAAATTACTATATTCGATTTTAATTTTTTAGATTCTTCTGTAATAAACAAAATAAATAGGCCTAATAGCTCCAAAATCAAAGTATTTTATTTGATTAATACATCAACAAAACTGAGTAATATATATCAAGAATTGATTTTTAGCGATTAAAAGAAAACATTTTGATAGAGATTGGATAGATTAATAAATTGAGGCTACACATTTTTTATAGTATATTTATTTACTTTTTTATACATACTATTAAGAAATAAAACAAAGACGTCGTGTCATAAAAAAACTATTTTAATTATATTATTTCCACTTATCATGAAGGCAATTACATAACCAGTCACCATTTAACTGATTTGATAAATTGAAAAATAATTAATTTATGAAAAATCTACTCGACAAAAATGTAGCATGCAAATCTAATAGCTAAAATTTTTTATATTATATTTTCTATATACACTAATTATATCTATGTGAAAATTACTTATTACTATCTCTGTCCATTTTTAATTGTTATATTATAGTTTTCAAAAATTAATTTGATTAATTTTAAAAGTTAAATTAGATAAAATTAATTTGATATTTTAAAAAATATTAGATATTCAAAAATTATACAATAAGTACTATCAATTGTAATTTTTTGCATACCAATATGATGAAAAATACTCCGTAATGTTAGTTAAATTTTTTTATAACTTGACTCTAAAAAAGAAAATCTAGACAATTAAAAATGGACAAAAAAAAGTATATTTTTATATCAATTGGTGTGAAGATATTTAACTGAGTATAAAAGAATTTAAAAAAAAATAAAATTGAAACTTCAAGTTCGAAAATTTGAAGCTACAACTTGAGATGAGTACTAGTATTAATCACACTATATATCTTGAATTGGTTATTTTATTTAATTATGAAAAGAAAACACCAACAGAATCGATATACTAACACGTTGAGTTTTACATATTATATATATATATATGTATATATATATATATAATAAAAAAATATAATATACTAATATATAATTTGAAAAGAAAAAACACATATCCATATACATAAATAAATAATATACGTAAACATCTTTTGAGCTGCATACGTAAAATATTTTTGAATTAATAAAATCATATACACTATATATCCTTTTTACTATATTATAATGTTTGGATTAATTTATACACATCTCGATTAATAATTTTACAAAAAATTAATCACCTCCTACCAGTAACGAACATCGTAATTAACTCTATTCATCAGACATACATATACGAAATCAACTATTAAAACATGCACTAATATTATTATGGACAACTTTCACATATAGCAAACAAAAAATTCATATTTGTATGCTATAACAAAGTTTGCATAATTGCGCTCCATAGCAAACATAAAACTGTATTATTCGTTATA